GGGGACAAAAAAGCTACAGACCAGCACACTCTTAAAAATAAAGGTGCCTCATGATGCCATAAAAGAACCTTTTTTTGTCTAAATGGTTCCATAAAGAACCTTTAACATCTGAAGAACCTTTCTGTTTCACAAAAGGTTCTTTGTGGTGAAAAAAGGTTCTTCAGATACACCGAACACAATTAGTCAGTGTTTCAACATCTACAACACAGATGTTAATGTTAAGTTCTTATTGCACTGACATTCAAGATCTTCTCTGCATTGAGCTTCTATATTTCTCTAATATTTTGAATGAATAACGCAGCAACTGCACGTCTCGTGGGCTAGACTAACAAAACATTAAAATGCAACAGTGTCACTTACTTACATCATCATCACCGCATCTCGTGCACCACTGATGACGCTCCCTGACGCACATCTAACATTGGATTGTACTATTTTTGCATGCAAATGTTTTTTAAATTCGACTAATATTCATTCTTTACTCTCAATCTCCTCATCACAGGCAGGCACAACACTCATGTTCGTGTTTGTGTGTGCTGTCTGCGTCACTCATAGCACGTGTCTATATCGAACAGTTTTTATATCGTTACCGAAGAAGGTGTACCGTCGATTAATATCGATACCGTTTTATCGCCCAGGCCTATGTGTAACTTCATTAAGCTGGTTGTTTTGGGCAGCTCATGCATTAGCAGCTTTGGCCAGTTCATTTTATTTTCAGGAGCAGTGTTGAAGAGCACTATAGTATTGACAGTTATTGATTGTTATACCACTCTGTCACGTGGCAGTACCCGCAGGGTTGGTTTAAGGTTTCAGGGACTGTGGGAAAACCACTACAGCTGTGATTGAAAAGGGTCACGATCACCAGAGTCGTATTGTGTGGCCCCATCTAAGCAGTTGGCTTGTTTAGCTTGCTTGCCTTTTTCCACGAGCCATGACAGGTGATGGCTTTGTAGAGTTTGTCCTGTGAAGCTGGTATTACTTGTGGCTCTTAAAGTGGAAATAGATCATGGTAATTCAGGAAGAGCAGTGGCTGGAAATATATACATGATATGTGTATGGATGAGTTTCAACAGGAGAGTGCCGGATCCAGTATGGTCCTGGCATAGAACTTGTTTAACATGTAAAAATAAACAGCTTGCCAAAATTTAAACCGTATTTAATAAATGAGTTCTTGAGAAATGTCCTGGCACAGGCACTGACAGGATCTGATGTGTGCAGTATTTGCACTACTTGCACTGTGTTTTTGCACTTGAAAAGTTGTAATTTCTGCCTGTACTCTTGTTTCTTGTATCATGTGATATGCTTGCTGTAAAGTAATTTCTTGGTACCAAAATGTATTAACGGTTAGCTGCTGTGACATTGCAATTATTCCTACCATTCTGATAAATGTTGCTCTGCTGCAATAAATGTATATATTAGGTTGTATGATTTATGTGATCATTATATGTGTTACCTTATTAACTATATGATTCATGTCACTTTGTCTATTGTGGAGGAGCATTTAACAGCGAGACTGGGCATCAAACAAGTTGTAACTCTCCTCACCACACTTTTATTTAGCTGATCCCAGTTTGGGGGATGCCAGTCCCCCATAATGGCTTTATGGCTATTGAATTATTTCTGCAATAGGTGATCTGGCCTTTTGTTTACAAGGTGGAGTATGCAGTTTCTGCGAAAATAATCAAACTACAAAAATAGTCAAACAACCTTTTCAAATGCCCTTTTGCACATCACTCCTCCCCCTAACATCACAAACACAGCTCTTATGGGTCTATAAAAGTGAAGGCATATCTCAACAAGTAAAAGTAGGCTTCTTTCAATAAAAAGTCCAACATATTAGGAATAATTTTAACTTGAAGTTTAGCTTACCTGTCGAGAAGAAACTCTGCAAGGTTGTCGAACTGATTGAAACCAAGACATTCATCAAATTCCTGCATCTTGTAAAACACTGCCAGTGTTTACTCTTGTTTTACCCCGTTTTCTGGCTCTGTGTATGTTTTTGTATTAGAGGTCTTCTTGGGTCCTAAAATCTGTACCCGACCCGAATTGACCCGAATCACTTCTTGCCCGAACCTGACGTGCATAAATTATTTTTTCAAAAAGAAAAACCCGACCCGAGACAGACCCGATGAAATTAGACCCGAGTCCGACCCGACCCGACTGCATTTATTTTCAAACCCGACTGGACCCGAACATAAACGGCATTGACGTGTGCACAGCCTGCAGCCATGCAGCCAGTCAGGAAAATCCCGGCGTCCTGCTGACTGATTTGGCCGCTTCTCCATTACTTTAATTTATTTAACATGTATTTAATTTGGTTATTACTTTATATTATTGCCTGCCTGATGGATACAAGTTATTTCTGAGTTCGGCTTTCAGTTGTGACCAGTGGATTTGAAAAATAAACGTGATAGTTTGATAAAAATTTAATCGATAGCTTTTCATAGCTAATCTAACATAATTCATGGCTTCGCTAGTGTTGTCTGCAACCTAATCTCCGGCGAAAGGCTTCTGCACTCAAAAAAAGAAAAGCCCTGCATGAATACGCAGTGTAATGAAGCAAGTGAATTTTCCTGATGGATCTCATATCTATAAGATGGATTTCTGTTGGCGAGGTTACAAACGTATGCTCCTTTTATATGTGCGTTCCTCACTTAACGCGAACGTGCAAGTATACACATTCGGGATAGTTTAAAAGAATTCGGGTCTTGTCTGGTCCATTTGGAAAAAAAAAGCACATTTATTTTAAATTACCCGAGACCCAAGGCCGCTAATACCAAACCCGACCCGTGTCCGAGGCACTCTAGAAATTTTGGACCCAAACCCGCTCGGGTCTCGAGTCGGACCTTGGGTTTTCGGATCCAAGTGGACCCGTGAAGACCTCTATTTTGTATCTCTCACGTTAGGTGGCATTCTAAAAACACAATGCTCAAGTTAAAAAGTTCAACTTGTCTCATAACTTTGTGTTTTTTCCCATTCCACTGCCCGTCTTGTTTTTCAATGTAAAAACGCATTCTCTGTGAATAGCTGCTTAGGACTAGCAATACGTTCTACATTACAATCCTTGATAGAGCACACACGAGCAGTTAATCGGTTGCTCCGTCATGCGGTTGGATCATTTTTTTTCTCTTAACAGTTATCGTTGGCATATTGTCAACATGTCTAATCGTAACTTTTGCTAATTTTTATTCAAAACCACTATTACTTGATTTAAAAAAAATAGTCTAGTCATATGCATTATATTCGAATGTGTGTAAATGTTACTTTTCATTTTGAAATGTGCAGCTCATATTCAATTAAATTGCAGCCTGTGCAATTTGATAATTGCCCCATATTGTGATTTCAGTTGTATTTCAATTAGTTTTTCATAGGGCTGCACGATTAATCGAATGCGATTGTCATGCGCATTTTGATAGTAATGCCGGTTCTGTAATCAGCAGGAAATCATCATCACGTGCTTTCAGATGGAGCAGAATTTACTACACATAGCCGTAGTTCACTGACAAGTTACGCAAAAAAATCGCAGATGATTTTATTGCGCGATTCTGAAATCGAAGAAATCGTTCGCGATAATGGCAGCTGTTTGCATAGCTTCTCAGTGAACTACGGCTCTGTGAAGTAAATGCTTCTCCATCTGAAAGCATGTGAAAATACCACATTTAATAACATATTTTTACTCCAAACTCACTTCATAACGTCAGTCGAGTGTTTGAAATAAATCCTTCTGTGAGATGATGTGGCTTCTTACACAGAATAAGGCACGCAACATATTTCATAGTATTTAAGCAGTGATAAAGGCATTGCATTATAAATATACTTTATTTTAATGAAAATTATAATAATAAGAACTCAGATAAACCATATATTGCCGTAGTCGTGTGTTTATTAGTCACGTTGAATCAATGAAAGCAGTTGAATCTTCTGTTTATTCAGCTGCAACGATAGGCATTTCCTGGGTTTCTTCTGCAAGGCGTATTTGGAGTTTCAGCGTGAGAGCGCCCTCTGGCCTTCGAATGGAGATTTACTGCTGATCACAGAACCGTGCTTCACTGAAAGATACGCATGACAATCGCAGCTTCTGTCGAATTGCGATCTCGATTCCATTTCGATTTATCATGCAGCCCTAGTTTTTCACCTGTTTTATTATACAACATAGTACAATTCAAATCAGTCAATTTACCCAGATGATATTTGTTGCTTTATTGTAGACCATCTGCATCTGTATTTCCTGTGGAAATGGTTTCAGATTGATTTCTGGTGTCAGTGGAAAAGGGGCATATGACAGTTTATTACAGAGTAAGAATGGTCCACAGTCTAGAGGCCGGAAGAGCAGTACTGGGTTCAGGTAGCACATCAGTTTCTGGCCTCTGATTAAGAGAGGGAGGAAAGTTCACAGTGTGTGTGTGTTTTTTTTTCATCCTGCCTTTCATGTCACATCCCTCAGGCATAACATACGCATAGCCTAGTCCTTGGGAATGCCACAGTGTTGTTTAATTGGGTGTCTGTTACAGTAGATGACTGTGGATGATTTTCAGCATCCTCTGCTCAGGATGTGGAGTTGAGACAGATGGTGGGCCGGAAAGGAGGTGGTATAGCAGTACGTGTTGATAATTGTGCCCACTCCCTCATGCTGGAAAGCTGCGTGCGTGAGTCAACCTTAGATATGTAGAATTTTTTAATCATAGTGGGCCTGCATATTCATTATTATTATTTTTTTTGTCATATTTAATTGTGTCCCAGTGACTCATAATGCACTGGAAGCTAAAGCGTATTTAGACACTGCAAAGCCTCTCTAGTTGAGTGGATTTAATGTTCTCATGCTCATGTATGCGTATATTATACGTCACCGGTACATGAGCAGATATTTTTTATTAAAGCTCCTTACTTTAAATATATCAGGTAATTTGGTTGTTGCTCCATCCACTATCAGTCTTTCGCTTTTCTCTTTGGCTATGTATTGTGTAACTGACTTCCATCTCCCCTCTTTTCTGATTTTCCAGGCACAGACATCTCAGTGGGGGAAGAAGTAGCCATCAAGCTAGAATGTGTGAAAACGAAGCATCCACAGCTGCACATCGAGAGCAAGATCTACAAGATGATGCAAGGAGGCGGTACGTGTTTCCACACTCCGTCAGCAACTCCTCGTGGTCTCCATCCGGCTTCTCCATTTACACAGACCTATGAGTCACACGTACACACCTCACACTGCTGCCACATACATAAGAGCCTGTATACTTGTTCTTTTGTAGAAAATAAAACTCTTCAAACTAAAATATTTAATATGAACTGTTAGGTGTTAAGTTGATATTTACCTTATTAGTTTTCGTTTTTTTTTTTTTAAATGTAAACAGAATTTTGCTTTGTATTGAAAGGCCGTTTTATAGAGTACCATTTTAATCATATTATGAAATGTTGGAAGCAGAGCTCAACATTAAGCAAAAATGAAAATACATTCTACCATTCAAAAGTTTGAGGTTGGTATTTTGTTAAATATTTTTGAAAGAAGCCTCTTATGCACGCCTAGGCTGCATTTATTGGATCAAAAATACAGTTAAAACCGTAATATTGGGAAATTATTAGAATTTCAAATAACTTTTATATTTTTAAATTATATTTTAAAATGTAAGTTATTCCTCTGCTGGCAAAGCTGAATTTTCAGCAGCCATTACGCCATTCTTGAGTGTCACATAATCCTTCAGAAATCATTCTAATAGGCCGATTTGTTGCTAATTTTTTTCTTATTATTAACCTTGAAAACAGTTGTGCTGCTTAATATTTTTGTGGAAACCATGATGTTTGTTTTTTTTGCCCAGAATTCTTTGATGAATAGAAAGTTGAACTGCATTTATTTGAGAAATGAATCTTTTGCTGAATAAAAGTATTAATTTATTTTATATATAAAAAAAAAAAAAAAATCTTACTGACCCCTAACGTTTGATTGTTCATATAGGAAAAAATTTATTTGTGCTGGGGCCAGTGGAAATTTAAAACGCAAACTACTATATATTCTTCCTGTTGATCCCTGGTTAGTAATATTAGCCTCTAAAAGCCTCTATGAATGATGACCATTTTATGTTGGCTTAATGTAGTTCTTTTGTTGAGTTTTGTTGAGTAAGAGCGTTCTCTGAAGGTAAGGCGTAGTTCACAGGATCTCTATTTCTTAGATGGTGTTACAGAATACTGTAGCAACAGTGGGTGGCAAACCAATCGTGACCAGTTCCCCCTCGCATCATCAGTCAGTGAGTCAACACATCCTTCTCCAATGAGAGTGGCATTATCAGATCTCAAACTACTCACAGCATTCTGTCAGCACCATGAATTGTCTTCTCATTGGCCTTGCATGGATGTAAAGGAAGTAGGCAATTTGTGTCTTCAGCATTGTTTTGCATCATATCGTCCTGTAATCAATCTACAAAATCACATTTTTGTTGAAATTTTGGTTCTGTTGTAATGTATGGTGATGGTTTATGAATATACGAGGTGCCTGAAGGATGCGTCCCCCCACCGGCCCCCGCTGGGTTTGGCCCTGATTGCTTTTATTCTAGATAGATGTATGATAGTCCTGTCGGGGGTATTTTATGTGGCCAGCAGCAAAAGTGTGTCGTCTATGGCATTCGCTTTCAAACATGCTCTAGTCTGTCCGCTCGCTCCCAGCATGACTGAGCATGCATGACGTTTGCTCTGCGGCGGCCAAACTTTGCGATGGTATCCGTGCCACGACAGACTGACATTCTGAGTGAGCCTCCCTCTCAGCGCTTGTGTTCTCTATGATCACATAGACCCCGGGCCAGATGGTGCATGCGGAGGGGAGTGGGTTTGGGGGGAGGTGCCGGCCCTGTGCATTTCATCTCCTAACCAGAGCATGTGAGCGAAGCCGCTCCGCTCCGTTTTCCGCTCTATGGACGTGCGCTCCACTCGGTCGCTCTAACTGCCCAAGCAAGCGCTCCGTTAATATTCCGCTCACTCTCGCCGTAAACCAATTCCCGCTCAGATCCCGCTCCGTTCTGTAAAGAACAAATTTGCGTGCATTATTTTAGATTATAAATTACTGCTGCCTATATCTAGCCTACATTCTGTAGGTCTACCTATTGGTTCGGGTCATTTTTTTTATTTATTTTTTTTATTTTAATAGGCGTAAGTGGTGTAGGCTAAGATCTTCTGTACTCTGTAGTTCTGTATTTAGGCCTATATACAGCTGTGTGTTAGCTTAGGTCTACAGTTGAACTGAGATTATTTAATAACTACGGAGCTCTGAATATAATTCGAATTAACAATTCGTTTCTACGCCGTCAGCAGGTTTTATTATTTTTTTAAGTAATTTATTATTATTTATTAATTTTAAGCAATAATGATTTTAATTATTTTTTTTAATTAATTTATTATTATTTATTAATTTTAAGCAATAATTAATTTAATAAGTAATTACAAAGTATAATAATTCGTTCCACGATTTAGGCCTACTAAAACTAGGGAATGAACGAATTAACGAACGAATGAATTCGTGGCAGCCAAGCCTAAACAAGAGAGCGAATACTTAATTCGTGGCCATAATTTAGACTAAACAAAAAAATTAATTCTTAATTTGTGGCCATAATGTAGTCTTAGCATAAAAGAGGAGCGGAATCTTCAGAAAGGCGCTCTGCGCTCTTAAGGAAATATTACCACTCCGCTCCCCGCTCCGCTCACATGCTCTGCTCCTAACTGGGTCTCTTGCACCACTCGCAGCCTTATTTAGCACAGCATGAACAAGCATACACACTGATGACGTTACATCGAGAAAGGTGTGGGTATATACATGAATTTTGTAGGTAGAAAGGAAACCTAATGTTATTTTTTATGTTATTATTTCTGCATGTTTTAGCACCACAGTTACACTTTTTCAAGTCCATACATGGAGAAGCACAAGGCTTGGCATTTTTCTATTTTAATTCCTATTAATATAGACTGTGTCAGAGCTGTGCTGATGTGAGAATGGAGAGGCGTGCTGGACGGCTCAGGCCAGGAGATATATTTAACCTCCTGAGTTTGCACAGGAATAGCTGACCTGGAGGATGTTTTCTGGAAAGTGCTGAACAGCAAAAGCTCTGTGTTGTTGAAGGCAGTGGCCAGGCTCAGGGTGCACACGACCGTAGACATGACAGCAGCTGCCGAGAGATCTCTGACCTGCCAGAACGCTGCTGAACGCTCTGTCTTCCTTTCCTCGATAATCCTGAAAAAATCTTAAGACATTAGACTTGCCTAGGCTGTTTGTCTAGAAGAGTAGCATTAAAAAAACCTGTCATTATACTGTAAAATATATGCCATTAAATTTACAATGGGGAAAACAGGCAGCTGTGGTTGTCAGGAATTTACTTAAAAAAAAAAAAAAAAATTTGGGGATGGGCATTTTTCAAAAATATTGTATTTGAATATTTGGTCTCTTAAAAAAATATATTTGAATATTCTTGAATTTGTTATATCTCAAGGTTTTTACAGACGTTCCAGAGACACAAATATAATGGTGTGCTAAGCAACGGTTCTTGTAGCGTTTTGTGTTTTCTGTTCTTAAAGCACTCTCCCTCGAGGAAACTTAAAGGAAGCATACGTCTCAAGATCATTTGGCTATCAGATAAGCTCTCTTCTCGGCTCACTCAGTACAGCTGCGCTTACCTGCAGTCGTGAATGCAGTAATGGACAGCTGCTTTTCCTCAGTCGACTGCTGTTTGGATTTCGTGTGATTTCTCATTGTGGTGGTGATATTATGATAACTCAGTTTCACAGATTAATTTGATCAAAGTAATTCCAAACTTCGAGAGGCAGAGGACAACATTCTGTGATCAAATACAGTCAACTTATTAACACGCTCCACAGCGTCACCCAGTGCATTTAATTATAACTGACTTTATTTTGCGTGCTTAAGATTTAGCATGGTTTCCCTGCATTTATGGCCAGCAAAGCAAAACGTAGTAAATTTTGAATAGTGTTTTTATTTTTCGAATAATAATTACATATTGAATATTCGACTATTTGTACACACCCCTAAAAAAATACTGTTATTGTTTCAGGTATTACTGGAGGGTATAATGGTGCCTGTGTATTCTACTTGTAAACATATCATTCATAAATAAATGTAATTTTAAGGTATTTGAAGTACCAAAATCTGCTTTGATATCCACCATGATACGGGCGGTGAAATAGAAAGCCACATGATTAGTTAATTGTAAGTGGCCTGTCTATAAAACATGGCCAGTATTTGTATTCAAACACACAAAGACCAAACACCAATCAGGGTAACACACCACACACTACAAAAATGCAATCAACATTTAAGAGAAAATGTAAACACCCTAATATTCAATTCAATTCAAGTTTATTTGTATAGTGCTTTTTACGATACAAAACGTTGCAAAGCAACTTTACAGAAAATTTAGTAGTAGCTTATAGAGCCCGACCGATATGGGTTTTTTGGGGCCGATGCCGATACCGATACCGATATTAGGGAGAAGAAAAAAAGGCCGATACCAATATATCGGCCGATATTCTTTGTGTATATTATAGTACAGTACCAGTCAAAAGTTTGGACACTTTCCCATTCGTGTGTCCAAACATTTGACTGGTACTATATATAGAATACAGTATATACAGTGGGTACGGAAAGTATTCAGACCCCCTTAAATTTTTCACTCTTTGTTATATTGCAGCCATTTGCTAAAATGCGGATCTCCACCAAATTCGGGGGATCCCTTCAGCTCGAGGAGCCCTCTCGAACGCCACCCTCCGCGCGTCGGTAACCCCCCGGGATCGCTAGATCGGTCGGCGCCGGACCGCGAATTTAACCAGCCGTAACTCCCGAACCCCGGGGGCTAGCCACGCGGGGGTGGTCTCATTCGAAAGAGGGCCTCGAGACGTACACTCGATTCGCGTTCGAGAGGGTTCCTTGAGCTGAAGAGATCCCCCGAATTTGGTGCGGATTCGCCGCGCCGTTACGGAGATATGGCCGTTCAAAGTTTCAGTGGTTTTCCATAGACTTAAGCTTTAAAGCGTTTCATCCAGGTCGCCAGTAGCAAACAATGGAGCGCGCTCTGCTGGACAAACTAAGTAATTACACCATTTCAAGCATTTATCTGCATTATATGTTCTGTAAAAAAAATTTTTATATCGGCGGCATATTCGTCGATACCGATATATCAGCGACAGGCTCATATCGGCCGATAATATCGGCAAAACGATATATCGGTCGGGCTCTAGTAGCTTATCAGTGTTGACTGTCAGTTAATGTACATATGGCAGAAATGTACGGAAAAATCAATTAAATATAAAAAATTAATATACATTACTCAAAAGTAAGGAGAACCAAAACTTTTTAAATAACTTCTGAGAATGTCATTTTTTCACCATAAATTATACAGTATAGTGTTTACCTGCAGAAACCATAAAGTATTGATTAACAGGTTTTACTGTTGCTTTTTACATTATTTTTTGTAAAGTTACATTAAAAATTTGTATTTTTAACATCTCACTTTACATTTTTAACATGTATTTTTCCAGTTACTTACGTAAATTACCCAAATTGATAAGGGTTCATTCCAACCTTATGCATTGATCATTTGAATTTGGTGTCATTTCTGAAAATTAGCTGGTAGCTATAATTGAATCACATGAAAGAGGCTTCTTCAAGTCAAGTCAAGTCAAGTCTGCTTTATTGTCAATTGGAGCAGACCGAGATCCCGCAGCTCTTCGGCGTGCGCAGAGTTTAACTCTAAAAATGTGGTTCTGCCGACATCGAGCAGAAACTCACGACTGTATGCGCGCTTAGAGACAGATAGACGCGACGAATACGTACAAAAACACTGCGACTCACAAGACAAAAAACACGAAAACACCTTTCTGTCGGGAGAGAGAGAAGCCGCAGCGTGTGAACGCGCCGCCATCTTGAGGGTTAGGTCAGTTCTTTGCTTAACCTGGAGGATTATGTGTATTCAACATCCATTGTATCAGTACAAATTCAAATTATATTGTAGTGTTGTGACAGCTGCCTTTTCTGGTTCACGTGTGCTTGAATGGTGAGAGTGGGCAGGAAAATGCCCTTGAAGTGATCTAATTGGGTATCAACTGTCTTTCCCTGACAGCCTATATCTTTTTGCGTATCATCATCATTGCGTATCAAGGTCATTCTATAGATGGTTTATGCTTTATGGCTGATGAGTTAGAGCCCTTTCAGAGGGTGACCAAACAGGGCTGCTGGTTTACTTAAGCTGAATCTCTCCTTAGGTTTTATTACATTGCTGTCCTACTGAAACAAACGGGCTTCCAACCCCCCACCTATTATGTTGTAGGTCACCTTCAGTTTCTGTCTGTCAGACCTTAGTAAAACTTTCCCCTCTATTCAGTATTTTAAACTTTAAATATCCTTTTGGTTGGTAAACATTTCCTTCCGAAACCGCATTCCCTTTTAGAAAAAAAAAAATCTTCTCTACTAATGGTAATTGTTTATTTTACAGTCGGTATCCCAACAATCAAATGGTGTGGAGCAGAGGGAGATTACAATGTGATGGTAATGGAGCTGCTGGGACCCAGTTTGGAGGATCTCTTCAACTTCTGTTCTCGCAAGTTCAGCCTAAAGACTGTTCTTCTGCTGGCTGACCAGATGGTAAGGCTTGTAGACATGATCTCTGTAACCTTTGTCCTCTCCACCCTACCCATCTCTTGTTATAGGACACCCAAAACGGGATAATGACTCCAGGAAGTGGTTTTCTGGTGACATGACAAGCTTTACTGTCATCTTTTCAGCTGTTTTACTTCGACAGCCAGTGTCCTTTTTCACTTTGTGTTTGAATGAGTATTAAGTGCCAAGATGCATTGTGAAAGGAGGCATAATGTGAAAGGACTGCTTGTTCAGCAGTTATCATGCCCTCATTGCTTTATTTGAATTGGTGTGTTAGGTTTGCATGGAGTCTCTCATTCAGTCATTCGACATGCTGAACCTGTCCTCTATTCTGTCCTCAGATCAGCCGTATTGAATACATACACTCCAAGAACTTCATCCACAGAGATGTCAAGCCCGACAACTTCCTTATGGGCCTGGGGAAGAAGGGCAACCTTGTTTACATCATTGACTTTGGCCTGGCCAAAAAGTACAGAGATGCTCGCACCCACCAGCACATCCCTTATCGCGAGAACAAAAACTTGACTGGCACTGCTCGCTACGCTTCCATCAACACCCACTTGGG